GCCCTACCTAAACAAAGTATTCTTAGAAATGAACAACTATATTTTAGTTGCTTCTGAAACGTTGGCAAAGATACATATCCTAGCAAGTTGTATTTGCTGAATCCAACAAACTGAGAAGAAAAAAAATGAAAAAAAAAGGATTTCGTTAATTTTGTAAAATGACTGCATCACATGTCAGTTAGTATCAATTTGGTGTATATAAATCAACCAGATTACAATTTGTATAGATAAATTTTGAAGGGACAAAATTATGTATAAACCCGACTAGAATTTGATCATCAACCAAATGCTATACTCATTAGAGCTTTTTTTTTTGTTCATACATCACTCTTTATGTTACTCTCTTTATTCACTATTTGACATATAAACTCTGTCAGCTCATTTTTTTGTTTAAATAATAATATATCATGTTAGTGAAGTTTGCGTGTCAAACAGTGAATGCAGAGATAGCGACAGAGCCATAATTTATTGGTAGAGGGGGCCAAAAACTTTTTTTTATTAAGATTATACTAACATGTATATATATGTAACCGTTTTTATTTATGTATGTAATAAATTATAAAGAACTATTAATTTAAGGGGACAAAGTTTAATTTATACACATACTATATTAAAATTAAAATCACAACATTAAAAAATAAAAATAAAAAAGCTAGGGCCCCCTGCCCTCCAAACTCTGTCATTGTGCAAAGAGTGACAAAGAGAGTGATAAAATAAGTGCTCTAGCATTTGTCTAAGAGAATTAAACACAAAAAGACAAGCAATTAAGTCTATCACTCTATTAATGTAGAGAACTATTAATTTAAGGAGAGCAAGTCTAATTTATACACATACTATATTAAAATTAAAATTACAATGTTAAAAAATAAAAATACAAAAGCTAGGACTCCCACCCCTAAAATTCTGTCATTGTGTAGAGGTGATAAAGAGAGTGATAGAAAGAGTGATGTCAGTATTTTTCTAACAAAATTAAAACACAAAAAGACAAGCAATTAAAGTCTACTTGAGGTTCAAGGATTCAGAAGTCAAGTATAAAATTTCCAGCACCAAAGGAAAAAAAAAAAAACAAAAAAAGAAAAAACAAAAACAAAAGTCTACGAACTATTTAGACATTGTTTTTGTGGGTACAGTGATCGCCCAACTGTTTATTATTAGTTTTTTTCTTTCCTCCAAAGGCGGACGACTTGTTACTAAAAATAATATTTCTTAATTTCGGTGAATAATCAATTAAGTCCAGTTAGTCCATCAATAGTTTAAAGTTTTATAAGAATTTTGTTCAAACGTGGAATATATAGCAGGGATGGTAACATAAATCCTCCCGTGTGTTTCACAGCCTGTATTTTTTAAAATGTCGTACTTATCCAACGTACGGTGCTAAAAACATCATTTGACATAAAATCATTGACCAACATCCCCTAAAAATTGTTAAAATGGCTAAAATACCCATAAAAATGTTCAAACTAAATAACAATAAAGAAAATGAGTATTTATTAGCGGAAGGTTCTTATGGTCATTATGTGCTTGCATAATTGTTGATATTGATCTTTCTAAGTTTTTGATCGAATCTTTGCTCGTAAAGAAAACATGACATGGTCTAGTTCTTTTGATAGAGTAAGAGAAGTTTTTCTTCAACTAGAGAATTGAATTTTGTACTTATTTTAACATGTCATCTGAACTTTGTACTTTGTTTAATACACCCCTGAGTTATTGTGTGTTTGGTTAGTAGATTCGTGTTATGATTCAAATTATAATTCGTGACTCGTTATAGTATTTTCTCTCACAAAAAATATACGTAAATTAAAAATAATTTTAAATCATAATTCTAAAGCCATTAACCAATCATAATTTTACTTGTCCCTCAAATTACTACTTTTGTGTCAACTCCGAGAAATGTTGCTTACTCTCAAGTACTAATATTGTGTTTGAACATTATATTATTAGTTGTTATGGCATCTATTGTCAATCTAATATGAGAGTTAATTTGAAAATATTACGATCTCGTTCAATTCGTCGATTCGAGTTTTCAATTTTAACTGCGATGTAATTTTACTGTAACAAAAGTTAAATGTGACTTTTATGAGAACTTTTTACTATAGTAAAATTGAAATTGAAAATTCAAATAAATAAAATCAACGATGACTAACTAGTTATAATTATGGAATGATGAGTAGTTGGCAGTGGGTACAATTCATTTATACTCACCGGAAGTTGAGTTTTTGTACAAATGATTATTGCATCATGATTCTCTACCTATGGCATGATCCGTATTAACTTTCAGAAAAACTCATCTCCAAATTACGAAGTTATAGTGTGGAATGGAAGAACAAAGTTTTCTGTGAATCTGAATAAGTACATCAAACTTGGAGTTTCAGCTTCAATCTTTTCTAAACTGGGCAAGTCTTGGCATGGTAATCACACCCCTCATAGACTTCTAACCCTGGTTGGTCCAGTTCATCTTCTTTAAAGCAAGCACATCGCTTGCTCATCTTCCCAGTCAATGCGATTTCTATGGGCCTCTGAACTAACCTCGGGTAGCCGACATCGCACCAGACCTGACCAACGAAAAGAAAAATCCCTTGTGAAATCTAAAATGCAACTCAATCAACAGTGAAATGCCTGCAAAAACCTCACTGGAAAGCTGACTCATAATCACAATATTGGTTTTTGTGGAAAAGTTTTGTATCATTTTCCATGTTTTGTGGGACAAGGTGGACATATAACTCCATCAATCAACATAAGCCTGAATTCTAATAAGCAAGTCTCTAAAACAACACAAAACTGAAAGAAACGACATAGGGCCGGTTTCTGTGCAAATTGAATTCTTTTTTCTCTTTTTCATAATGTATTAAAAAAGGTGTGTGTGCATTGACATCCCGCGTCCTACTTTTCACACACCTATTTTTAACAAATTTTCATATTACTAAATTACCCATTAATAAAATTACTTATGAAGTACAAAAGTGTTTAAGAAAATGATACACATTACACAATCCCACCTAAAAAATAAATAAATAAACACATAAAAGCACATAAAGTATTTCTAGAAAAAAAAAATTAAAATATAATGAATATGGTTGAAAAGATAAACGATAGCCTAATACACTGGGATCTTTATTCTTACGTAATGTTTGATATAGTAGTATGGAATGAAGTTAATTTTATCCTAAAAAGATAAAGAAAAGGATGAAAACTTTGAATTTTATCAAAGGAATAAAATCATCTAAATGGTTTATCTTTCATAGAATGCATGAATTACCACATGTTCAGATTCTCCTTTTAACTTCTACTTTATTCACATCTTTTGCGCCTGTATTTCACAAAAGTAATGATTATATGTTGTGTAAAAAAACCAAAAAACAAAAAAACAAAAACAAAAGAAAGAAAGAATGAAAATGGTTGTAAAAAATAAAAGGATAAGTTCGGTTGGTGGGTGGGTAAAGAAAGGAAAAACAATACAATATGATTCTACGGACCTTTTTTTGAAATTTTAAGAGGGTGTAACAAGTAGAACAGGGGTGGATTAAGAATTGGTGTGCAAAAAATATAGACTAACCCTTAAAAGGAGAAAAAAAAAAGCTCATAAAATGAAGCAATGTGTCTGGTAAAAGTGGACTTTGTACATGCATTTTTACAGTTATTTTGAGAAGTAAGATTGATGCAGAATGAGTAGACTTTGAGTAAAATAAATATAGAAAATACATTAGATTGATTAGGATTGATTTTTATTTGATCTTCCCTTATTTGTGTATGATTTAATCAGTTTCCGATCTTGGTTTTGTAATCAGCCTATAAATTGGCTACACTACTATAGACATGGCAGACTATAATTTGAATGAACTATAAAAACCCCTAATTCTTCTATTTCTCTCTCCTTTCCTCTAATTTCCCCCTTTCTCTTCACTCTTTCAAAAAAATGCTCTTCACTCGTTCCCATCTCCCCTAACTCTACATCAAGGATTTTTTAGCTTCTGACCACTTCTACTACTTTATTACAAGTATGTAGTGCTTCTTTAGAAAGCAAATAAACACGAAAGGTCGCCATGAAAATTATGAAATGAACTATAAAAAATAAAATAAAAAATAAAAAAACTGATTTTCAAAGCTAATTGACTAGCCTCAAACTAGTTTTCTCGAATTTCTTTCTGCTTTTGAAATTTATGCAAACATATACCTCTCCACCCTCGTTTTGACTCCACCTTGAGTTGCAGCTGGGTTGCTTAGCTTCTTCTTTCTTCTGTTTCTCCAAAAGCTGTGCGCCTCTTGCTGCCTTCGCTTCAGCTCCTTTCAAATATTTTGTGGGATTTCCTTGGCTATCATAGTAACGACCCACTAGTTTGCCAACAAATCTAACAATTAGGAGTTGAGAATACTTATTATCAAACATTTTAGTCACTCATCGAAAATTTCAAATGCACACTTGACAAGGATGAAATTTTCAAAAGAAAGGAGATTACAACTCACGTGTAGCTTCGAGAGTAAAAATCCCTCCATTCAACAATGCTCTTTACCTGCAAAAACAATCGTAAATTCATAATCTTTTCAAGGATCCTTTCCTCCTTATAATCACATCTAAGTCCTTTATCCTGTCCTTTTTCACTTTCGGATAGGACCATGGGGAAAGGGGGTAATGAGCCTCACCAACTTATGTGATTATGCCATTGCAAAATGTGAAAAGAAAAACAAAAAAAGTGTGTGGTATTATTTTATTTTCAAGGTAAAACAAGAATCTATACCTCGGTGCTGGATAGACCACGTAATGAATCAGTGAGTCCATCTCCTGCACTAGGAACAAAGCAAAAAATTAATGAAACTACGTAGAAAGCATTTGCACTTATTGAAAGTGAAAGAGTCATTGCAGATTCCCTGATCTCCTATGGCATATTAGTCTCTATGTATGGTAATTAGAGAGAGTCAATGAAGTTCAATGATTAACAGATGATCATTTCCAACTTTCTGTTTCATCACTCCATACATGAGACACTATGAGTGCTTTAAACACTAAGAGTTGGGCCTTCAAGGAATCTTATTCCCTCGGGCATAAAGACGCTCGTTAAGTTAGTCGCGCTAACAGCTAACAAGTTCTACCAAGTAGCATAACTAGCAAAGTATCACCACATGATACCTTAAGAATGGGAATTATGAAATTCAAAAGGCCTATACACCCACCCAAAAATATCTTACACAACTGACTACAGATGGATACAACTTCTACTACTTACAAGCCTAAAACGCATTTTAAGTCCTGGTTTAATGTTAAAATCAGAAACCTAAGAACGAAAAGACCAGTAAGACCTTGTTTTCTTAATGAAGTCATACTCCACAAATGCTTCTAGAAAATAAATAACGACCTCACGGATATTTTACCAGAGTGCTTGATAGCTTTAGCTTTTTAAATTCTGCACAATCTAGCAACTTTAAACTACTACAACTGCATAGAAAGAAAATTGAAAACTAAGACCTAAGAGAAGTTGACAAAATACCTCTCAAACATCAAACTTAAGTACAGTTACAATTTAACAACATACGCATAAGAAAGTTACAGACAATGACAAGAAAATCTAAAGACAAAACTTCGAGTACAGTTACAATCTAACAAGAAACAATAATAACTGCCATTGTTACCTGTAAAGTTTCCTGAAACAAATGCGCGGGAAGCATCTCTAGATTGTATACAAACAAGACAACAGTAGTAAGTGTACCAGTCTATCAAATAATGAAGCACAACAGCGCATAATCCGTAATGTTGATGACATAAGAAGCTATACCAATTGGTAAAAACAATAGTTATTCAAAAGCAATAGTTATTGACATATGGATCAATTCTCTAACAAGGAATAGTACACACATTAAGGTTGTATATAATATATTTTGCTTCAAAAAATTGATATCTGGCCCCTTTGTGAAGACAACTAGCAAAATTTAGGGAGCGAGTAAAAGAAGAGTGAACCTTCCAGCAAAATGATTGTAACCCCCTCCCTTGCCATAATGAGATTTTCCTTTTGAAACATCATAGACAGACCTGATTCAAAAATAAAAAAATAAAAAATAAAAAATGAATAAATAAATAAATCTTTACCCACTACGTAAAATGTACCAAGACATTAGGAGGTAGGAATATAAATAGACAAATGGCTGATTGTTGATCTTTCAACTTATTACTTGCTTTGAACTTCACTTTTCGTTTTTGAGTTCTCTGAGAAAATAAATCAAAATCATATGTTCATTCACACATAAAAAAAGTGAAAAAAAATAAAGGGTACCCAAGAATTCCTAAGAGAATCGGCAAGCCTTCATCAGTCCCATTGTACAAAGCAAGTTCTTCAACATTGAACAATCTCTACGAAATACAAGCAACATCAGATACGTTTATATATAGCCATTAATATAAACTTTAAATTTATGAAATGGGGTAGTTCTATTTACTCCATTTGATTGCCAGGATTCAGCTACCAACAAAAACAAAACAAAACTTTATTAATTTTTTTCTCTTTGATGGGTAACCATATTTCTAGAAATAACAACAAACCCATAAAAAGAATTTTCTTTTCCTGGCTTCGAAAGTTCTTTTCTCTATTAAAAACGAACCCAGTATCACGTATATTTATAATAAAATGAAGATTTTCGAATTTATATAGGTAAGAGAAAGGATTTCTGACCTGTTGAGAACTGGGCTTAAGGTAAAATGTAAAGAGGAAAGCAAAAACAGTAACAACAACTGCAATCGCTACGGAAAAGGAAGTTGTGAAAACTTTGAAGCCCATCTACTCCTCTTCCACTTTCAGATTTGAAAGACGCTGTGTTTTTGCATCGGCGACAACCAGCCAGAGAGTCTTCTAACTGAGGTCTTTCTCTCACTCAAAAATCCCAGTCCTTAACTTTTAAATTATCCTGCAGTTATTTCCTACTAAATTATTACAGTTTTGGTCCTCTTATTAGTCAGGTGTTAAATAGTTAACAAAATTTGTGAAAATAAAGGATTAAAATTAAAAATATCTAAAGTTTAGGGTTTAAAATATAATTAAAAATAAAAGTTAATTTTTAAAAATAATCTCTAAATTTTAGATCTTTTCAATTTTTGTCCTTAATTTACACATATTTCATCAAATATTTAATACCTAGTTAACACATGATCAAAATTTGAATAGAATGATATATCAGCAACTAATTGTGTGACGTTTTAAAAGTCAAATATCAAAATAGAAGAGGTGAATCTAAGAGATCATTTGTATGATTAACCCAATAAATATATAAATAAAGACTTTTTACACCTAGGTACCCAAACTCTTAACCGTTAGCACTCGGGTCCCCATTTAAAAATTTGGATAATTGAGTCTCTAAACTCCCATTTTTTGACATTTAGGTCCCTATATTAAAAATCATAATCAACATCTATTTTAATGGTTTCCCTCTAAATTTTTTTAGAGAGTCACTATTTGTAACATACTTTTTAAATTGAGGGGCTATTTATTATATAAGGTTGACTGTGAGGACTAATTTATATACAATATATCGAAATGCGAATGACATTTCTGGATATGTTTGGTAGAGGAATTCATTCCCCGATTCGAATCATGATTCGTGGTTCGCTACAGTATTTTCTCTCACAAAAAATTCACGTAAATCGAAAATGATTCGAATCACATGGTTTGAATCCTCTAACCAAACGTCCTCTCCGTGTTTCTCGGGATTTCAACCAAAACAGTAACGTTTTGGTTGAAATCCCACCCTTTTTTCCTTTTTTTTAGGTCCTTTCTTCTTCTTTTTTTTGTTTTTATTTTAAAATTTATTTATTTCTTCATTTTAGTTCTTTTAAACGTCCTCTCCGTGTTTCTCGGGATTTCGACCAAAACAGTAACGTTTTGGTTGAAATCCCACCCTTTTTTCCTTTTTTTTAGGTCCTTTCTTCTTCTTTTTTTGTTTTTATTTTAAAATTTATTTATTTCTTCATTTTAGTTCTTTTTTTTTTTTACTTTTTTAAAAAAATTATTCATTGAAACTTTATTTCTTTTCCATTTTTATTCTTTTTGACCTAAAATTTATTTCTTTCTTCATTTTGGTCCTTTTTTACCCCGTTTTTTTTTTTTTTTTTTTTTTTTCCTGAAACTTCATTTCTTTTATGTTTTGGTTCCTTTTATCCTAAACTTATTTATCTTTTCATTTTGGTCCTTTTTTTACCCATTTTTTATTTTTGTCCTAAAACTTTAATTTTTTTCGTTTTGATTATTTTTGCCCTAAAATTTATTTATTTTTTCATTTTAGTCCTTCTTTGACTCTTTTTATTTTTATTTTTGTCTTGAGATTTTATTTTTTTTTCTTTTGTTTCTTTTTGCCCTAAAACTTATTTATTCCATCATTTTGGTCTTTTTTTTTTACCTTTTTTTAATACTTTTTCCCTAAAACTTTACTCTTTTTTCCGTTTTTAGTTCTTTTTGTCCTAAAACTTATTAATTTTTTTATTTTGGTCGTTTTTTAACTCATTCTTTTAACTTTTATCTTGAAGCTTTATTTTTTCATTTTAATCCCTTTTGTCTTAAAACTTATTTATTTATTCATTTTAGTTCTTTTTTTATCCCACTTTTTCTCTTCAACTTTATTTTTTTAATTTTGTTTTCCTTTTTTTAGATTTTGTATTTAAATTCTATAAGCTTTTAATAATAAAACAAAAATTAAAACTTAGAGGACGTTTGGTTGGAGGATTCAAACCATGTGATTCGAACCATTTTCGATTTACTTAAATTTTTTGTGAGATAAAATATTATAGCGAACCACGAATCATGATTCAAATCAAGGAACGAATCCCTCTACCAAACATCCTCTTAACATCCGAATTACTCCTCACGTGCACGTGAAATTGAACTAGTTCTATAGAGAAAAGAATTGAGGGATCTTTGATTAATTTATTCCTATTTTTAAGTTAAAAACACCTATACCCACGTGTAAATGTATGAGGGGTAAAAGAGCACGCTCAACAAGAAGACAATGGAAACGCCTTCATGTGAACCCCACCCACAAGAAAGAGACATTACTATTCTTCTCAACATTTCCGACTCTGGTCGAAAATTCAATCAGTCTTCCCAAGGCGACGCGATTCATAAGCTTTTCTTCTCCTTCTTTCCCTCCCTGTTTAGGTACGAACCTCATCCTTCGATTTTCATTTTTTTTTTCCTTTATTATTCCTATTATCAACGATTTATCTTCGAATTTTTCCCTTTCGATTTTCAATTTCCTTTTTCTTCCCGTAATACGAGCTGGATTTGAAAATCTTAAATTTCACTCGAGATTTTTCCCCATAACCGAAGCTTGATCGGGCGATTTTTGCTATAAAACGCGTTCCTTTCGCTCGGAGTTTGATCGGAATTGACGAGGTTTTTTGAATTGTATCTCAATTTGAATTCTTTAGGTAGTTGCATGTCGAAATTTTCCGGTTTTTGTTTTGTTTTTGAGTTTTTGGGATATATGAGGAGTTGATTTCGGGTTTATGTTTGAATGTCGTTGAAGTGACAGGTTATATAGGCATAGATGGGCGTGAGACAGGCTTTAAAGAGCCTTGATGCGTTTCCTCGTGCTGAAGAGCACTTGTTGCAAAAGACACGATCCGGGGCACTCGGTAATTGCGCTATTCTTTACCTGAAACCTTTCTTGGTTCGTCGTACATTTCTACGTTTTTCGCTATTCAATTTTGCATAGAGAGGGAAACATGAGTAAAGCACTCTGTTAGCTATGCTTTTTTAGTAAACACTCTGGTATGAGAATTGAGAATGCAGCCCTTTTTCTATTTGTTTATGTACATTAAGTTTCTATTCGACAAAGTTGCATTCGTGTTGTGAATTTTTCGATGTATAATGGAGAAAACGCGTTCAGTGTAATATTTAAGTTGTTAACAATGAGTTAATGGGAGAAATAATACTAGGCGTCCTAACCATTATCATAACTTTTTAGTACCAACTTACGTGGCATATGGTGCGTCATCCTTCTACTTGTTGGTAACAACTTTTTAATGGCAATTAAAGTTGGCGACTTTTTAAACACATACAGATAGAAGGCTGACCACTCACTTTCCATGTAAGTTGGTGATGCAAGGTTGGAGTAAGAGTTCGGACGCTAGCATTATTCAAAACAAAAATAAGCATCAACCATCAAAAATGAACATTTTCTCCTATAACCGGTGTCTGGCAGCAATTCCTCCTCCATTTCATTTCTGTTAACGTGTATTTAGCTTTTCAGTTCCGAATCATTTCCATGTTCGTTGGATGGAAACAAATCATGTATTCTTGTGGGAAAAAGAATACTCTCCGGATTGAATTTGATTTTTTTCTTTCTTTAATTTTGTAGTCTCCATTGTTGGATTGGTCATAATGGCTATGTTGTTCATGCATGAGCTGAGATATTATCTCACGACTTACACTGTCCATCAGGTTAGCATTGCTGCATTTTTTCCCTCCTGTATAGTGGATAATTTATTTTGGATGGAAGTTTCAGGTGGGAGATTGCTTTTTGTTTGGACACAAGAATTTAAAGCTTATATGACTATTTTAGAACGTTGCATGAAACTATTGGACTTAAGAAAAAGAGTCCCACCCTTTAAACAATATGGTGTTTTGCATTTCTCTTCCAATGCCCCAAGAAATAGGAAAAATGGAGAAATCCTTGTTTATTCAGTCTCTTTGATGTGTTATTGTGAATGGAACAAGTCAAATAATCAAAGGGTGTGTTCATTTCACAACTAAGTTATGACTTGAGTTGTGTATGTGAGAGAAAAATATTGTAGCAAAAAAGTTGAATTTGAATTTTTGTGAGAGAAAACACTGTAGCAATAAAACTTGAGTTGTGAAATGAACAAGGCCAAAATCTCATCGATCCGTTGGAGCTCCATATAATCTGTAGGAGCCATTGATGCTGAAAAACTGAAAAGGAGAGTGGAGACTTCCAACCATGGAATTTTTTCACTGGCTAACTAAACTTTTATCTCCGAACTTGTTGTACAATTTGGTACTTCAAGTCTCTTAGGAAGACAATTGTGGTTTTGTCCCTGTTATTTAGCCCTTTTAACCTATGGAACTACATAGTTAAATCAGGAGTGGTAAAACTGTGATTTGAGGAGGATAAAGAGTTGTCTAACAATGAGCCTTGTGCATTTAACAGATGTCTGTTGACTTGAAACGTGGAGAGACTCTTCCAATTCATATAAATGTGACATTCCCTTCGTTACCATGTGATGGTTAGGACATTCCTTGCTCTTGCTTTCTTGGAAAATTTGTATTGTTTATTTATCTTTTCAACGTGTTTAATTCTTCTCTATCCATATTCAATAATTACTACTTACTACTCTTTGTGATGAGAAAATTCTGAATTGTCCTTTCCTTTTTGTTTTTTGGTTGCAGTCTTAAGTGTTGATGCAATTGATATGTCTGGTAAGCATGAAGTGGATCTTGACACAAACATTTGGAAGGTGATGCGCTTTCTTAATTCTCTAATGTTATTTTCACCAAAGTGGATACATAAATTTAGGATGACAAGTTATGCATGCTTGCAAGCAGTGTATTATAGGTGTCAAAAAGATACTAGGGATTACTTAGTTTGACTTAATTCTCTCCCTCATGTTGCTCTATTTTAGGAGAAGTTGGTTAACTGAGGGCTCCTTCATTGTGCTATTTTTTAAAGCTTCCTATATGTGGACCTTGGTATCCTTCTTATGCTTAGTTATGTTTAACTCATTTCATAGTTTAATAAAGGCGTCATAGTTTAATGAAGGGATCATCTTATAAGCATCAGGAACTAATTCATGAATTGTTCTTGAAAGCACTAAAATGACACCATGTTTGAGACTTCCGCTACTTGTGGCCTTTTTTTGGAAGATCAGAACAATATGTTTTATGAGTGTTCTTGGATTTGTGTATTTAGATAATTGATATCTCTTCTTGCTATTTATTTTCTTTATGTATTAGATTCTGGTTTAAATCTTATTGTGTACTTGACGACACTTTTCTGCAATTCTTTGCTTGACAGTCAAACTATTGGGAAAGTGTTTAGTAGAAAATTTCTCATTATCTGCTTTACCGTTTGATCTCGAAATTCGAAACTTTTGTCAGAAACCTAGATACACGTTGAGTATGTGTAATTGATTGTATTTGTACATAGATAAGAGAAAAGAAAAGAAAAGAAAATCCTTGTAATGTTTAATGTTTGTTGTAATACGGAGCAACATTTATTGTGTACTTTGGCTGAATCAATTTTCACAACTAGCATCTCATCTTCGCTCCCCCATCCCCTCAACACCCTATTGTATTATACTTTTTGCTAAAAGCCCTCTTATATTATACTAACAATGTATTTTTGCTGCAGCTTCGCCTGAATAGTCATGGCCAGATAATTGGCACTGAATATTTATCTGACCTTGTGGAAAAGGAACATGCATCTCATAAGCACGGTAACACTATTTTAATTCTCTCCCTGCCCCAAAAAAGAAACTATCGTGGTTTTCATAAAACAAATCTTGGTTTTCTTCATTTGTTACCAAACTCTGGATTTATTAACTTCTTGACGTGCTCAACTCAAACTTTAAGGAACCTGGTAATTCTCAACCAAACAACTCAGCACACACTCACACACACGGTTTCACAGCCAAGAAAATGAGAGGAATTAGGGAATCTTTATTTATTTCAATTAGCCTCACGTTACAATAGTCAATTGAAAGATAAACCCGGAGATTTTGAGTACTTCGGAACTCCCAGCCACCGACGGTGGAAAACAACACAGAGACAACAAAACAGAATTCGACTCCCCTGCCCTAACCTTTTCCTACCCCCCAAATACCCTGATTCCTACTTGCCTTTGCCACGTCACCTGCCTAGCCACTTCCTAAACTTACTCCTTGGCCCCCAACTCTAGTCTTTTTGTCACCCTTACCTCTCCTAGTGTAAACGTTTTTCAGTACGAGTCTGACAGTACCCCCCCTTCGAGATCAACCTTGTCCCCAAGGTTGAAGTCGGGAAATTGGTGAAGAATTGAGTCTAGTGGCTCCCAAGTAGCCTCCCCCTCCGGCAGCCCCTCCCATTGAATGAGGAGGTCCATGTCAGAAGGTCCTCCAACGCGAGAATAACGGGCTCGCAACACGGCTGCTGGTCGAACCAAGAGCTCGAGCTCCTCTGTAAGCTGTGACGACAGGGGCTGCCTTGCTGGAGTGTCACCCCGAAAGGCCTTGAGCTGTGAAACATGGAAGACCAGGTGGATACGTGCGTCTTCCGGAAGCAGGAGCCGGTACGCAACGGTACCAATCCTCTCAGCAATCTCAAATGGACCATAGTAGCGAGGAGCGAACTTCTCATTATGCTTCTTGGCCAAGGACTTTAGCTGGTACGGTCGCAGCTTGAGGAGGACCCATTCCTCGGGCGCAAAACTGACTTCTCGCCGCTGCTGGTCAGCAAAATGCTTCATGCGTTGTTGCGCATTCGCCAATTGTTCCTTGAGCTCTTCCAGCATGTCATTTCGCAGCTGCATTTGCTTGGTCACCTCCTCATCCATCGAAGGAGTGTCCTGAAATCGGTACAAAACAGGTGGATGCCGGCCATAAACTATGTAGAAGGGTGTATGCATCGTCGAAGCATTGTAGGTTGTATTGAACCAATACTCAGCTCAAGGAAGAAACTTCAGCCACGACCTTGGCTTAGCCCCGGTGAAACACCGTAAATATGTCTCCAAACAGCGGTTGACCTGCTCGGTTTGGCCATCGGACTCGGGGTGATAGGCTGAGCTTGTGCGCAACTGAGTTCCTTGGAGTTTGAAGAGCTCTCTCGAAAATGAACTCATAAAGATAGGATCACGGTCGCTCACAATCAAACGAGGAACCCCTTGGAGCCAAACGATCTCACGTATGAACAACTCCGCCACAGACTTCGCCGAGAATGGATGAGCAAGGGGGCAGAAATGTGCAAACTTAGACAATCGATCCACCACAACTAGGATTGTGTCTCGTCCCTCCGATTTAGGGAGGCCGCCTATGAAATCCATGGAAATGTCCTCCCAAATCCTATTAGGAATTGGAAGGGGTTGCAACAACCCTGCCGGAAGCATAGCCTCGCTTTTGGCACTTTGACAAACCTTGCACCAAGCCACATAGTCCCGTGTTTCCTCTTTCATGCCCGGCCAAAACACATTCCTTGACACCTGCTTATAAGTGCGAAAGAATCCCGAATGGCCACCAATCACCGAGTCGTGGAACTTGTGCAACAACCGAGGTATCCATGGTGAGGAACGCGGTAAAACCACCCATCCTTTATAGAGCAACAACCCCTCCTTCTCACTGTATCCATCCCGAACCTACTCCCCAGCCAATAATTTTGCTAGCAACCCCGAACACTAGTCATCCCCCCGCTGACCGCTTCTAATGGCCCCCATATCCAACAACCGTGGAATGGAAATGGCAGTAAAAGTCATTGGCTGCTCATCCCCCCTCCTAGACAACGCATCCGCCACTTTATTAGCGGCTCCCGGTTTGAATTGCACCTCAAAATCATACCCAAGAAGCTTGGTAACCCATCGCAATTGCTCCGGTGGAAGCACTCACTGATCCAATAGATACCAGAGACTTTGTTGGTCAGAGCGGACCACAAAGCGTCGTCCCAGCAAGTAGTGACGCCACTTTTGTATGGCAAACACCACTGCCATCAACTCCCTCTCATAAACCGACTTCAGCCTACTTGACTCCGATAGTGCTTTGCTAAAATAAGTAATGGGCCGGCCCTCTTGCATAAGGATAGCCCCTAGGCCAGCCCCCGATGTGTCGGTCTCAATCACAAAGGTCTTGCTAAAGTCCGGCATAGCCAACACCGGTAATGTGGTCATGGCCCTCTTAAGGGACGCAAAAGCTCCTACCGCCTCTTCCTCCCAACCGAAACCACCTTGTTTGAGCAAATTGGTCAAGGGCCGTGCAATCTCACCGTAGCCCCGCACAAACCGACGATAGTATCCGGTCAACCCAAGAAACCCCCGCACGTCTCGGACACTCTTAGGAGTCGGCCAAGAGTTAATGGCGGCCACCTTGGAAGGGTCCGGCACAACCCCCTTGCCCGAAATGATGTGGCCGAGATACTCCAAGCTATGGCGGCCAAACGCACATTTCTTCAAGTTAGCAAACAGCTTATCCCGCTGCAATACCTCTAATACCTTTACCAAATGGCCCCGATGCTCTTCCATGGTCCGGCTATATACTAAGATGTCATTAAAAAACACAAAGACAAATCGGCGTAGGAATGGGCGGAAGATCGAGTTCATAAGGGCTTGAAACGTCGCCGGTGCATTAGTAAGGGCAAAAGGCATCACCAAGAACTCATAGTGTCCTTCGTACGTCCGAAAGGCGATTTTCTCTACATCTTCTTCATGAACCCGTATTTGGTGGTACCCCGCTCTCAAATCCAACTTAGAAAACACCTTCGCTTCGTGGAGCTCATCTAGTAGCTCATCGATGACTGGGATCGGAAATTTATCCGGCACGGTCAATTGGTTCAGAGCCCGGTAATCGACACAGAAGCGCCACCTCCCATCCTTCTTCTTCACTAAGATTACCGGACTAGAGAATGGGCTGCTACTAGGTCGAATGATCCCGGAGGAAATCATGTCGGCCACCAATCTCTCAATCTCCCCTTTTTGGAAGTGCGGATAGCGGTAAGGCCGAATGTTAGGAGGATTAGCCCCATCCTTCAATACAATCCGGTGGTCGCGTGCTCGTTTCGGGGGCAGCTCCTTAATTTCCTCAAAAACATCCCTGAACCCCTCTATCACATCCTGCAACTCCCTTGGTACGACCACCGATTGCTTACCATCCTCCTGCCCTACCACCTCACAGAGTTCCAACAATACCCCCACTTGTGTGCCCCCTACCGTTCGAGTCAGCGAACGAAAACTCACTGGCGTACAACATAAAGCGGGATCCCCAATCCAACTCACCCAATTGTCCTCCACCTTGAATTTCATGGTGAACCGAGACCAATTTGCCCGCACTTCTCCCAAGGTCCGCAACCATGTAACTCCCAAAACAATGTCCGTGCGTCCTAAATCAAATAGGAAGAAATCTTCTACCACCGTGAACCCTTGTACGGACAACTCCATTCCCCTACATACTCCTTGTTACTTGGAACACATACCGTTGCCGATCTGCACCCCGCATTTGGTCGACAAATCACATGGTAGTCCTAATTCTTTCACAATCGTCTCCGACACAAAGCTATGAAATGCCCCACTATCAATCAACACCACCACCACTCGGGAGCCAATTGTGCCCTTAAGTTTCATAGTTTTTGCGGAATTAAATCCCATCATAGAGTTAAGGAAAAGGTCTACATTCTCTTCCGA